AGTCGATTATCGATTGGACTTGCAAAGTATTATGGTTTGTCATTGGTAATCACGAGTACAATACTGCCGTAGCCGAGAGAGAGGTTGTATCCATTGATACCAATTGTCAAGGATTTTCGCAGATTGCATTTAAGTGTGGTCGATATCTCGCCGTTTCTATGTTTAACTGAATGAAGACTTGCGAAAAGTTATTATTTTTTTTTAAATAAGAATCGATGAATCTATCATGATGACAGTCCAGGGAAATTCCCTTGTCCATAAATCATTGATTTGTAGTTTGTGACATCGGTTAAGTGTTGTCGACTGTTATAGATTGATATCAATTGCTCTCGTTGCTTAGCGATATCATCGATTGGCCAGGCTGAGGAAGAAGATGAAGGAATATAGTTCAGTGTATGATTTTTGATGTTACTGCTATTCGATGAAGATTTCTTTACAAATTTAAATTTTTTTTTATTTCTTCTGCTCAGACAGAGTAAGATGATTCTGAGCTTGGTAATGAAAAAGGGAAATATGTTTTTTTCGTCTTTTCACGAGCGTGAAACTAATAAAAATGTGGCCTGGCTCACCGTAGATTCTCTTCGGCGCTGTGGTTGAACGTTGAAGCGCGGAATCTGAAGGTCTGAGGATTAGTTCCTTGCGAGGACTCGGATTTTTTTTTTTGTTCCATGCCAATGAACAGGCGAAAAAACCATCTCTCTACATAAAAGTTGTCTTGATTTTTATTGGGCAGGAGGAGATTAGAGAAATACAACTTCGTATAGCCGGTTGTATCGAGGATGGCCCTAAACTCGACCCAGAAGACTTTATAATTGACGTAAGTATGGCTATGGAATGTGTCCTTTTAATTCAGGAGTCAGGGTAGCACCCGACGGGACTGTCACGTGGACAGTCTGACGTCTCTTAACGCAACTCATTTGGAAGTCATTTTGGTAATGGTGGACAATTTTCTTTAAACTCCACCGAAACTAGTGTTCTTAATTGACAAGGATAGAACCTATCTTTTGAAGTGTTCGATCCAGGTCTCCCCTTGCAAAAGCAATTTTTAGACAAATATGACTTTTCTTTTCCCAGATGGTCACTTTTGATTATGGAATGAAAGACAGAAATCCAATCGATGAGGTGCGGTTTTACGGCAAGAGCAACCCCGATAAACCTCTGTCTTTTAGAAAGGAAGAGGTATGTTGTTATTTTTCGATTTAAGTAGATGTTCCTGTATTTGTGTGACAACTTTCGTACCCATAAAGATGGCAGTTAGCGGCTCTCGCTTAATTGTTCCTGCATATCAGAAGGGAAGTACTTTGTGTACCACAATATAATGGTGCTCCATAGCTCTCGTTTGACTGGTCACACACTGGGGTTTAATTAACAGATTTAGATGTTAAATCAACTTGCCTTTGTAATGATCCTCCTTAGATGACAGATGTTATTATTATTATTATTCCTTTTTTTTTTTATTTAAGTTGACATTCTCATGCTGGCGCTACAAAATTGACTACGCGTGAAGAAAGTGCGGGGTACTTTCAGCCAGTTGTTCACGGATATTAGAAGCACACACAGCGAGCACCGGATACTAATCCAACTCTTTATGTATAAGGTTAGCAACATGCTTCCTGAGATGTTTGCAGAGCAGCATATCCGAGTATATTTTCGCAAGAATGACCCTGAACTCCTAGTGAAGGCAAACCGGTCAGTTCATAGAGGTTTTTTTTACCGTAATCGGCTGTTAGTGATCAGTGACACAAGTGAATTACAGCCTCTTCTTTGCCTCTTTGTTCGACTTATTGGTTTTAATTTTTTTTCTGATTTGATTTTCAGATGCTTCCTCCGTTGGTGTGGTAGGCAGAAGTGTACCACGCCAAAGGTATGAACCTCAACTCAAACCCTAGTTTCAATTTCCTGTCACTAATTAACGATTTTCCTCTTTCTCGACGTTGTAAACTCTAACATTATTGTGTTGTATTTGTTGCAAGGGAGGAGATACTCTGGCGGAATTGACTCCTATGAAGTCCTCGCAGGAGGGTGGC